AGCATGCCAGCGTTAACCCGTTTAGCTATTATATCATTTCAGTGAATTTGTACTGCTCCTCGTCCAATATATCCTTCCCAAGGTGCAGTGCTCAGAACTGAATGTAATACCCAGATAGAATCTAATGATGCTCATTACACAGTAATATAACTCACATCTTGTTTATTCACAGTTTTTGTGATAAAGACCAACATTCCATTAGCCTCTTAATTAATTTTGTACTTATCATCTAGCTTTTAGAGAACAAAGAACAATACAACACAGGAACAGGCCCTTTGGCCCTCCAAGCTTGCGCCAATGCATTTTGCCCTTCCATACCTAAACAGTCCTCATTTACAGGATCCATATCCCTCTATTCCCTTCCTGTTCATGTGTTCATCCAGATGCTTCTTGAGTGCTGCTATTGTGTCTGCTTCCACCACCACCTCTGACTACCCTTTGTGTGGAAAACCTGCCTTGCACATCTGTTTTAAACTCCTCAAACCCAACCCAAACCTGTGTCCCCTTGTAATTGATCCCTGGGAAAAAGCCTCATACTTTCCACTTGATCCATGCTATTCACAATCTTATAAACTTCTATCAGGTCCCTTCTCAACCTCCTGAGTTTCATGAAAACAAACCAGTCTATCCAAACTCTCTTGACAACTAAAATCCCCTGTATCAGGCAACATCCTGGTAAGCCTTTGCTGCACCCTGTCCAAAGCATCAACATCCTTTTGGTAGTGTGTTGATCAGAATTGTACACAATATTCCAAGTGTGTGGCCTAACTAAAGTTCTAGAAGACTGCAGCATAACTTGTCTATCCTTATACTCAATGCCCCTTCCAATGAAGGCAAGCATGCCATAAGCCTTTTCCACTACCATATCTACCTGTGTTGCCACCTTCAGTGATCTGTAGACCTGCACACCCAGATCCTTCTGCATGTCAATACTCCTAAGGGTTCTGCCATTCACTGTATAATTTCCACCGAGCTTGACCTTCCAAAATGCATCACCTCACATTTGTCCGGATTAAATTCCATCTGCCATTTTTCTGCCCATACCTCCAACTGCTCCATATCCTGCTGTATCCTCTGACAATTCTTCTCACTGTCTGCAACTCCACCATCTTTGTATCGTCCACAAGCTTATTAATTAGACCATCCACGTTTTCTTCCAGATCATTTCCATAAACCACGAACAACAGAGGCCCCAGCACTGATCCCTGAGGAACACCACTAGTGACAGCCCTCCATGCCGAAAAGCATCCTTCCACCGGTACCCTCTGTCTCCCATGACTGAGCCAGTTCTGTACCCATCTTACCAGCTCACCCCTGATACCATGTGACTTCACCTTTTGTACCAGTCCGCCATGAGGAACTTCTTCAAAGGCTTTATTGAAGTCCACGTAGACAACATCAACTTCTTTTCCCTCATCCACCATCTTTGTCACCTTCTCAAAACACTTAATCAAGTTAGTGAGACATGACCTCCTCTGCATGAAACCATGCTGTCTATTGCTAATAAGTCCATTTGCTTCTGAATGGCTATAGTCATGTCTATACTTGATCCCTAAAATTATCTGTTTATTCTTGCTATCCCATTTAGAAAATACTCTGGAGTGTGTTTCTTGGATCCAAATTGTACGTCCTTGCACTTTCTCATTAGGCTCCAACAGCTGCAGCTCTGCCCACTTGCCTAATCTATCAATTTCCCCTTGCAATTTAGAATTTCAATCTACACTACCTATTGCTGCAATTAACTTGGTACTTGTAGCAAATTTAGATTACACATTGCTATCCTTAGTCTCATTCTGGGTCTATGGAGGGAATCAAAAAGAGGGAAAAACAAACTTGATGTCATCCTTACCAATCTGACAGCAGCAGATGCATCTTTCCATAACAGTATTGGTCAGAGTGACCATTGCATGCCCCTGTGGAGAAGTTGTTCCCCCTTCACATTGAGAATACCCTCCATTGTGTTATGTGGTACTGTTACCGTGCTAAGTGGGACAGACTTCAAACGGATGCCCAGTGTTGAATTGCTGCATCTGTGAGGTGCTGTGGGTCATCAACAGCAGAATTGTTCTTGAGAACAATCTACAATCTCATGGCCTGACGTATCCCCCACTCAATCTTTACAACCTTCCTGCTCTGTCTTTTGACACCAGTGAATATCATCCTCTTGCTATAAATGCCATCGTACCATTTGCTGCCCTCACCACCTGCATACTTTATTCAATGATTGGTGTACAAGGACTTCAAGGTTTTATTGTATTACCCCTTTTCTAATCGATCATCAGTCTGGTGGTAATCCACCTTCCAAATGGATAATCTTGCATTTATCCACATTACACTGTACTTGTCATGCGTTTGCTCACTTAATCGATTTGTTCAGAATCACTGAAGTAACTTTGCATCCTTCTCACAGCCACCCTCCCACCCAGCTTTGTGTCACTACAAACCTGGAGATATTGCATTCAGTTCCCTCGTCTAAATCATCCATATGTATTGCGAATAGTACTGATTCCTGTGGTTCACCAGTACTTACTCCTGAGGGAGGTAGGGACTAAATCATTCCTAATGGTTTCCTTTCTGCCAACCAATGCTCCACTCGTGTGAGTACACTATCACAATCCCACGCACTTTAATTTTACACGTTAATCTCTTAGGTGGTGCCTTTATTGAAAGCCTTTGGAAAGTCCAAATAAACCACATCGACTGATGCCCGCGTATCAATTCTACCAGTTACATCCTCAAAATTCCAGTGGATTTGTCGAATGTATTTCCATTTCTTTAATCCATACTGACTGTGTCCAATTCTGTCGCTGTTTTCCAAGTGCACTGCTTATAATTCTTTTGCAATCAGCTCTTACATTTTCCCCTCTACTGATGTCAGGCTAACTGGTTTTCCTCCTGTCTCCTTTTTTAAAAAACAATGGGTGGCATTAGCTACCCTCAATCCGTAGACCTGTTCCGGGTCCATATAATCGTGTCAGATGACCACCAATGGATCCACTATTTCTAGGGTCACTTCCTTAAGTGGAATCAAGATTATCATGTTCTGGGGATTTGTTGGCCTTTGATCCCATCAAGTCCCAAATCCATTTAACTTGGAATACTGATTTCCTTCAGTTTGTTCCTCTTGTAAACGCTATGCTCTCCAGCATTTTGGGATGTTATTTGTGTTCTCTTGTGTGAAAGCAGGACCAAACTATATATCTAATTCCATTTTTTTCATCTCTTTTATTCCCATTACAACTTCCCCTGTTTCTGAATGAGGGGCCTATGTTTTTCTTGATCTATCTTTTTTCCTCTGCAAGAGCTTCTGTACTTACATGAAATCCATTTATAGTCTATTTTCCTCCTTTTAATTAATTCTTTGCCTTCCTTTGCTGAAATCTAATCTGTTTCTCAGTCCTCATTATCAGCTGCTATTTTGGCCATTTTGAATGACCCTTTCTTCGTTCTAATGCTATCCCTAATTTGCCTTGTTAGCCATGTTGGCATTCTGTCCTGTTTTTATTTATGAGCCAGACAGGAATGAACAATTGATGCAGTTCCTCCACATGCTCTTTAAATATTTGTCATTGCCTATTCATCATAATTCCTGACATTCCTCAATCTATTCTCGCCAGCTCGCACCTCATGACATCATCCTTTCCTTTATTTAGATTCAGGACCCTAGTCTCAAAATCAACTGTCACCCTCCATCATAATGAAGTATTCGGTCAGATTGCAACATGTGATAGATTACATTAATTACACCCATCAAGGGTAGATAATCAGGTCCTGTTGCATCGTCTTTTAAATTTGACATGCTTGTTTAGAAATTGGTATATTATCACCTGTCTCTGGGGTAGTGTCCTAGAAATCAAGCCCTGCTGTTCCCAAACTTGTCACAAAAGTTATAGACTTTATTCAAGTATCTGAAATTCCCCAATTTACCTGTCTTTTTAGATCCAGGTTTATGGAAAGCACAGACCAAGTTTTGGTACCTAACAAGAACTAATATTTATCGCAAATACGTAGACTTTAGCTGCAAGTAAGTAACTATGAGTTTGTTTAAACTTGCCCTGTGCACATACAGAAATACAAAAAATGGTGTTATGAGAGGAGAGAGAGATGGAGCATGATTTAGTGACCCTTTTCCATGCGAATCACAGATATGATCCTTTTCCTTGCCGTTCATCGAACTCTGTTCTCCAGGCACTTCACACTACCATGCAGGAGTCACAAAGTGACTGGTTCACAAATTGCAAAAATCTTTTAGCTACTGGTTAAAAGCTAGCAATTTTCCATTGCTGTGGGGAAAAATAAACTGGCTTTATTTAATCTTTGGGTATGGTTTTTTGTTCAAAGGTAGAGTGAGATGCACCGTGTCCCCTTGCAGTGTTTAAAGGCTTCTGTACGCACGCACAAACTACCTACCTTCAGCTACATAGGAACCTGTCACTCCACAGACCAATCAGACACTTGTTGTCAGCCAAATCTCTCTTCCTGTGCACCTGCAGATATCAGTTCATCTACAACTAACCTTCCCCCATTACATGAAAAAGCAGCAGTGTCAATTTAATTGTTGTATGGGTCACCATTTATTGCCCATCCCTAATTGCCTAGAGGGCAGTTGAGTTAATCATGTTACTGAGGATCTGGAGTCACAATAGACCAGAGTAGGTATGATGGGGAGATTTTCCTAGAGGACATTAATGAATCAGAAGAGTTTTTCTGACCACAAACAATGACTCCATGGTCAGCATTAGGCTTTTAGCTCCAGGTTTTTATTGAATTCAATTTCCCGAACGTTATCCTGGGTCTGTGGATTTCTCATCCACTGACATAACCACTACACCACTACTTCCCTATGACCAATGAGTGAGGATAACTTGTTTTTAAAAGGTGTAGCAATCCCTTCCACAATCCTTTTTATCTCCCAGTAGTTCTTTTTCCATTTCAGCCCCCAATCAAAAATACAGAAAAATAAACAATGCAATCTTTACAATATCTAATTTTGTTCCTAGTGCCAAGGATGACATTGATATTGATGCATTGGCAGCAGAGATTGAGGGAGCAGGAGCTCCTAAACCAAAACCAGTTAGTAAAAAGAAGAAAAAAGATTTTGAGTAAGTATTAGTTTTGGATTGTTTGAGTTTTATTTTTGTTTGTTGTTCCTGTGTTTACTTCTGTACTGAGTTTGTTTGTTCTAAAATTCCAGGGAAGATGATATACTAAAAGAAATCGAAGAACTTTCTTTAGAGATTCAAGGAACAAAGGGCCATAACGAAGCAGCCAAATCTTCAGCCAAAGTAAAGGTTTAACTTAAAACTTTACAATTTTGATCTGGATATTTCCAGAATTGTAATTCTTTCAGCTTTTGTCCTGCAGTGTTTATAATCACAAAGGGAGTGACTAATTGGCAGTGAAAGTTTTGTTCTAGATGAACTACGTTATATGTTCTTTGATCTGAAGTTTCCAATCCCATATCCTGTGAATCTTTATTATATTCTAAATCCAGTTAAGAATAATGACCCTTGCTGCTAAATCAGATAGGTTTAATTTTCAATTTTATTTTTTGCAATGGAATGAGTGTGCAATATTTTGAAACTATTTTCATTTTAATAGAAAGAAGAAATAGATGAATCTGAGCCAGTCAATAAAAAGCCAGATAAGAAGAAAAAGAGCCAGAAGGTCCCAAAATCTGGTTTTGAAGATGAAGAAGTGGAAGGTGAAGAGTTTGGGCTACCAAAAGGCAAAGGTCGGAAGCAAAAATCTGAGCAATCAGATGAGGAAGATTTCATTGAGAGAGCTAAAGGGAGATCCCAAAGTCATGCACAAAAACTAGAGCTTTCAGAAGGCGAGGAAGTTGAGACTAAGAATTCTAAAGCAAATTCAGTCAGTGATGAAGACAGCAGTGAGTTCCCTCAAAATACAAAGAATAAGAAGAATCAAAAAAGTAATCAGCCCAAGAAAGGTGAAAGTGAAGGGGAGGATGGAGGAGATTCTGGATTCAAACTAAAAACAGCTGCACAAAAGAAAGCAGAAAAGAAAGAAAGGGAGCGCAAGAAACGGGAAGAGGAAAAGGCTAAACTTCGTAAGCAGAAAGAAAAGGATGATTCTGAACGACAGAGAAAGGAAAAAGAGCAGGAAGCTAAAACTCAGAAAGCTGAAGCTGAACTTGTTTCTAAAAGTGTACATGAGAAAATGGATGTTACTGCAACTGCTGAAGTTAAGGGAATTGAAGATACTGCAGGTGCGGAAGGTACTGTTTTAGATATCTGATTTATATTTGTAAAATGTTGGTTGTTCGAACCTGTATTTTTAGTCTGTCTGAGCTATTTCCTTGTGTTTTCCCTATATTCGTTTTGAAATATGTCACATTTGGTTGTCACACCTTGCATTGGAAGCCAAATGGGAATAACATTTCATGGTCTCTAAATGGTTTTCTTTTCAAACAAAAACTAATCAGTTTTTTCTGTTCTTGTGTACAACAAGATGAAGAATGTGGTCACACTCTACCTGTCGCTGTCTTCATGTCCCTTATTCTCTAATTCTTTTGCTTCTAATTCCAGTTTTCCTTTTTTTGTTTTCTTCCATGTATTTGATTTTGTTTGTTTGTCCTTTCCCTCTGCCTTATCTTTTTCTTTTGTTTTTGTCTGAAGGTGTGGATGGTGTGCCATTTTGTTGTAGGAAAAAGGCCATCAGCAGCTGCAGGCAATATCTGCAATCAGGATTTAATGGAAATCTGGTCTTTGCCTCTAACTCTAGGAAATTGTTACTTGGTAATATTAGCAAATAGTTAAAGATTTAAACTAGATAAACTGATTATTACTAAAACAAATATAACTGATTTAACTGAAACCACATTGTTAGCTAACCAATAAAGTTAGATTTGCTACCAGCCGTGCCATGCCTATGTTGCCCCTAAACTCCTCAGCCATGTAGCAACCCAGAAGTTCCTGCATAAACCATGTTTGAGCTAATGTTTTTAGGTGAATTTGCATGCCAGGCAAAAAAAAATTAAGGCACTGCTCACTTCAACAAATTTCTTGTGCATTCCAAAAACAGTTCAAGGCTGGATTGCAGCTTGTGTGCTTTAAATGCTGCAAGTGGAATTTTGTGGGGAGGATTGTGACCCAGACTACTATGTTTGTGAGAAATGCCACCAATTCCAGGAGCTTTGGTTTAGATATGAATCCTTGATGTTGTGGGGTTTCAGGGAGTGGGGGAAAAACACCTTTTAACCTTTATGTTTAAATAATCTTTAGAATTGGTTATCGATAAGGGTAAAAAGCAGTGTTCCCTCTAATTTTCCTTCCGGCTGTGTGGACCTCCAAGACCTGTCTGTAGCAGTGACATCCACAGCCGGAAGTCAGTGCTGATCATTGTGTGTGGTACCTTGAACCCTTTGAAGGTAGAAAGATATGACTGTATGTTGGGTAGGTATGAGGATTCAGTTCGTAATTTTGGCCAACAGCGTATCCAAGGTTCTTGGTACTTGCATAAAGTAGAAGAGAGACTGATGGGGTAATTGACCATTGAATAAGGGTGTAGATAGCTATTCAGTTGTGGTGAAGAAACATATATACAGGCATTTCTGATATAACGCGTGTTTCGTTAACATGAATTGGCTATAACATGATTGATGACTAGTGGACACTGTTTGGATAATGCAAACTTTCTACTGCACAGTATAGCGATTTTCTATAGCGATTTCCCTATAACGTGATTTTCTATAGCGCGAGGTAGCACAATAAAGTAATTACTGTTACAGCAGAACTACCTCTGGTACTGATAGGAAATCATAGTGCAGGGAGTAGATACTTGGAACAGTGGATGGTGTTTTAAGCCACTTAAACAGGTTGAGGTGCGAAGATTCGGCTAAGAGTGACTTCAGAACGAGTAAAGCAATAATTTTTTTTTGGGTGCCGGGGAGAGAATCAAATCTGAAGACACTGAATCTGAATGGATTTAGTAGTCACAACAAATGTAATGTGTTAATAGCACAATAAGCGTTAATTGTTTTGATCTACTCGTGATTCCAGAGACATGTTTGTGTGACTCCGTTTGAAAGTCAATATTTCCAAATGCTTTCTATTTTAGAGGGGATAAGTGAGATTTGATAAAGAGGAGGAGGCCCTGATGGTAAAGAAGTGGATAAAGATGATGGTGACAAAGGAGAAAATCATGAACCGCAATCAATTTTGATTGGAAGTAAGCAAAAAGGGACAGAAAACGCTGTTGAGTTTTTTTAAAGGCTCCCTCACAGTAGTTGAGGTGTGGGGATGAGCAGAAATCAGGAAGTTAGAGGCGCATTTAATGAGAGGAATGTAGTAATCGTGGGGGAGTTTGAATCTTCAAGTAGATATAGGAAACCAAACTTGTAGTAACCATAAGTACAAGTTTATGGAATGATATGAGGGAGTTTTCCAGATAACACATGGAGAAATCAATAAGGGAACAGGCTATTTTGGATCTAGTATTGTGAAATGAAATAATATTAATCAACTTTTCTCATACTGTGGTACTTGAGTTCTGCTGAATAAAAATTACACTGCTATTCTTATGGATGCCCTAATGAGTGCAGAATAAAAAGGTTTGACAAAATATGTCTCTTTTAGCAACAATAAACTTGCATTAAAAGTGTCTCAAGTGCCAAATATGGTAGAATTTCATATCAGGTCTGAGTGTGAATTAGGTAAACCTAAAACTAGACTCTTGTATATTTTGCACTGGTTACATTTAAGTTTTGATGGGTAGGTTATACGACAGATTGAGAAAGTAGATTAAAAGATATGGCATTAAATAGGAATGACTAGCATTTAAAGAATGAATCCATAATTTGCAACAAAGAAACATGCCTTTTAATGAACTTCCTTAATGCAAAAAACAACAGAGAAATTCTGCAATTATAGCTAAAGTGCCTGCTTTTTCTGATGTCAAAAAGAGTAGTAAACTTCACGATTGTGAATTCTAGAATTCAAAGGTGAGCCAAGGAAGTTGAGTAAAAAGAAAGAGTGTAAGAATTGATTAACATGAGACTTCAAAACAAATTGTAAACAATTCTATAGGCTCAAACCTAATTTCAAGGGGAAGTAGTGGTATAGTGGTTTTATTATAGGACTGGTAATCAAAAGGTCTGAGCTAATGGTCTGGGCACATGGGTTAAAATCCTATATTGGCAGCCAGTGCAATTTGTTATGCCCTGCTAAGGTAGCGTGCTGGAAATGATGAAATTATGAACCATCAGCATATAACTATACTAATTAAACTCTAATCCCCTTATAAACTGCACTCCTTAACCCCCAACCTACCCACACATGCACAAAAATTGCTCATAAGATGTTATTGATGGAAGGATGCCACAAGAGCTTTAACTGAGACATTATCTCCTACGCGCAAACATCTTCAGCTACTTCATCAGTTATCTTCCTGTCATAATGTCAGAGGCAGGAATAATGGTTGGTGATTGCAAAATGTTTATCACTATTCATGAATCCTCAGATACTGAAGCAGTTGCAGCAAGACCTGGGTAGTGTCTAAGCTTGGACAGTGTGTAGCGCAAAGGCCACTTAAGTTCCAGGCAATCTATCTCTAATAAAAAGAATTTCTCTTGACATTCAGTGGCATAACTATTGCTGAATATGCCACTGTCAGCATCCTGGGCGTTACTACTGATGAGAAACTGAACTGGACTAGTGAAGTGAATAATGTTTACAGTTCAGGGTGGAGACTAGGCATTTTGTAGTGATTGACTTGAGCTCAGCTCAAATAACATTTAAAGCTCAATGCCATTCAGGACAAAACAACCTGCTGATTTGGTACCCTATGCACAGATTAATTCACTCCCTTTAGCCCTGGCACACACTAGGAGTAGTGTCTATCATCTACAAGATGCACTGCAAAAACTCACGATGCCACCTTTGACAGCCCATTCTAAACCTGTGGTCTTTACCACCTAGAAAGACAAGGGCATATGTTAACCTCCAAGCCACTATGCTGACTTGTAACTATATTTGTAGTTCCTTCATTGTTACTGTGCCAAAGCCTTGGAATTCCCTGTGGGTGACCCTACAAACCAAGAACTTGAACGGTTTAGGAAGGAAATTCACCACCACCATTGCTGCTGTGGTAATTCAGGTTGAGCAATGATCTGGGCCAAGCCAACAATGCCTGAATTCCATTAACGAACATTTAAAAAAAAAAGACAAATGAAAGTGGCTAGATTATAATGGCGAATAAAAAAATGGTAGAGGCTTTATTAGTTTTCAGGTAGGAGATGTAAAAGCATTCTGGAGATGATAGGGAACCACGGGTCTAGTGATAATGGGGGATCTTGGAAAAATATCAGTGGGAGTAAAGATAACAGTACTGGAGAAATTAATCAGTTCTCCTAGCCTTGGCAGCCTGCAAACTAGGGTTTTCTGAGAGAGTGTTGCAGAGCATTCATTTTAATTTTCCAGAGATCGTAGATCAAAGAATTGTAGTACAGGAACAGAGGGCTGAGTGGCCTAATCCTTCTAGAATTTCTTACTGTTTTAACAATTCCCAGCCAGCAGGGGAGTTATGTGGTTCTTCCAGCAATATTTATCTCTTGACCAACTTTACAAGGACAGATGTGGTCTGATCATTATTACATTGCTGTTTCTGAGTTTATATGCAAGTTGGCTACCTCACTTCCCTGGTTACAATCATCAATAAACAGTGACTAAAGTACTGAGAGATAGCAAGAACTGCAGATGCTGGAGTCAGAGACAACACTGTGGAGCTGGAGGAACACAATAGGCCAGGCAGCATCAGAGGATATTGAGTACTGAGTTGGTTGTAAAATGCTCTGAGACTTCCTATGCTCCTGAAAAGTGCTTATAAACATGTCTTCCTTCCTTCCTTCCTTTGTTATGCATAGAAGGAAGAGGGCAGTAGGTGTATGGGAACACAAGAATTGGAAATTCCACTTCAAGTCAGTGCCTTCCTGATACAGAACTATGTTGAACTTCCCTCATTGTTAGTGTGTCTAAATTCTGGAACCTGTCCCCAACATTGCTGAGTGAATTTTTCCTAGGTGATCTGCAACAGTTCAAAACTGGTCGCCACCACTTTTTCTAAAGCAATTGGGAAAGCACAGTAAATGCTGGCCTTGCCAGTAATGCTGTTACTCTTTTCCATAGTCTTAGATGTTAAACAGTCAAAAATTGTTTAATAATTTTGGAATGCTGCTAATATCCTCAACTATGAAAACTGATGCAAAATATTTGTTTAGCCCCTGCCATTTTCTGGTTTCCCACTGTTATTTCCTCAACACTCTCTCTCCCCACTGTTATTTCCTCAACACTCTCTCTCCCCTGTTCTCTGAGGGGTCTGTGTTCACTTTAGCATCGATCAAATCACCTCTTAGCCTCCCAGATTTCAGGAATAACAACCCATCTTTGTGTGGTCTACTCAAAAATGATCCCTGGACATCAAGGGTTAAATAAAACTTGTCAGAAAACATTTGAAGTCCTTGTGGACTATATATTGAATGGTTTAAATCTGACTCCATTTTATTGATGGATGAATGTTTTCAAGGTGAAGTGAGAACTAGTATTGATTTAGTATTTGAACGCCATTTGATAAAGAAAAATTGAGAATTATACTGCCCGCTAATGTCCTTTTGATGATAGTAATGGGCATTTCTCATGCCTTGCATTGCAAACGCATCAGTATTTGTCTGAATCCGTGTTTTTTCTTCCCCATTTACACCAACAATGACCTGCATTCACTGGGTTATAACCTTTATTTTACTCCATGGTCTAGCAAGTTCTGTGGCTGAATCAAACCTTTGCTGTTTCCATGATGGTGACATAACCCAGGACCCCATGTGATAGTGTTTTAAGCAGAATCTGCTTTGTTTCTGTCCCACATGCTATACCCTAATTCAGGAAGAAGATCAAGTTAATAAAATTGTAGTAACGTGAGAACTATAAATTGTCATCTTGCTTTAAAATAATAAGCTATTGAAACTTAATGCTGAACATTAATAAGGCAGATGTTTGGTTAGAGTTCAGCAGCTTACATAAATTTCATATTTCCCCAATCTTGAAACAGTAATGAACTGCAATTGACACAGTTCTAAACCTCCTTTTTTTTTCATTAGAAAGGCCAAGGGAAAAAACAAGAGAAATTGTGCCACACATGAAGCAATTTAAGACTAACTGAGTACCTTGCAGTCTGAAAGCTTAATAACACTGCAGAACAATAATTGAAGAAAAGCTTGCATTATTCAACTTGTGCATGACCTGATTCCTCAATATATCCTCTTTTTAAAAAAAACTAATATTCTGCCTCTGCATCAGAGAGATCTAGATTTTCTTCTGCTAATCTCTTCGTTTTCTTGCAAACTTACAAAAGCTCTGAGAATCTTGTGATGCGTGTTTTTTTTTTCATTTTTGTTCCCAAATTTATCTGGTTCTTTCCTGTCCTTGATTTTTGTTTTAAACCTTACCAATTCTCATGCTTACTTTTTAGGGCGGCACGGTGGCCCAGTGGTTAGCACTGCTGCCTCACAGCACCAGAGACCCAGGTTTGAATCCACGCTCGGGTGACTGTGGGGAGTTTGCACATTCTCCCCGTGTCTGCGTGGGTTTCCTCCGGATGCTCCGGTTTCCTCCCACAGTCCAAAGATGTGCAGGCTAGGTGGATTGGCCATGCTAAATTGCCCATAGTGTTCAGGGATGAGTGGTATAGGGGGATGGGTTCTGGGTGGGATGCTCTGAGGGTTCTTGTGGACTTGTTGGGCCGAAGGGCCTGTTTCCACACTGTATGGATTCCACTTCTACCCTTTTTACATATGTAAGTCAGAGGATTGGGAAAGATTTAAAGACCAACAAAAGATGACCGGAGACATAACAAAGAGGGAGAAAATAAACTTTGAAGGTACTGCGTGAATTTATCCAGTTAAACTTGAAGTAATTTTAAAAAATGTGGAGAAGCCTTAAAGCCTTAGAAAACTGAAACCAAGGGCTTGGAAATTGGACAAATTTGTGGTGTCTGTCCTTCGTGCTAGCTGAACAGAAACTTGTGTGAATCAGATTACTAATATGAGAGTGGGCTTTGCCTACATGAGGCACCCAGTCGATGTTTCTTAAAAAAAAAAGTTACCCATATTTTTGATGAAATTTAGTTTAGCAAAAGTTCTTTTTGGTAGAATGTGATGGGGAGAAAATGAAATTTGCATAATGTTTAAGTTGTTGTGTAGCAATTAGTACAAAGCAAAACAAACTCTAGATTTTCGTTTCTTTTCTAATGGGTTTCTCCATGATACGTGAAGGTAATTGTGGGTTGAGCAGTTGATGAGGATTTCAGAATGGTACCACTTACTATAACTTGCAGGTGAAGAAAATGATGGGGACAAAAAGAAAAAGGACAAAAAGAAAAAGAAAGATAAAGATGAAAAAGAGAAGAAGAAAGCTGGTCCCAGCAAGGCTACTGTAAAAGCTATGCAGGAAGCACTTGCAAGATTAAAAGAAGAAGAAGAAAGGCAAAGAAGAGAGGAGGAAGAACGTTTACAACGGTTGGAAGAACTGGAAGCGAAACGCTTAGAACAGGTATTTAATTAATTAACTATTGGAGTGTTCAGAATTTGATTTTTGCTGAAAGGCAGCATGAGTAGAGATTGGGCAAATAAGTTGTTTGGTCTATGGAAGTGTAGATACAGGAAGCAACCATATTGTGCATCAAGATGTCACATACGCTTTGAAATAAAAGCCAATGTTCCTTTTGCCTTCCCTATTAACAGTTAAACTTGGATGCTAGCTTT